ACTAATACTAGTACTAATAATATTAAAATAGCCATTGTTTATTTAATGTTTACCATGTGCCAGGAAATATACAAAGTTCTTTATGTTCGAGGGCCCCCATCTGACAGATGATGAAAGCAAGGTTTTCAAAGGGTATAGGACTTGCCCAAGGTCACAAAGCAGAGCTGGAATATGACCTGAAGTCTTTCTCTGGGGCTTGAGCCTTAACCACTGTTTTTGAAAGTGTGAGCCACAGAGAGTTTTTTGTTTGTTTTGGGGGTTGGTTTTTTTTGGAGGAGGGGGAAGGGGGAGCAAAGAAAAGAGCGTCTTTATTGCTTTGCCCGGCAAAGGGAGTCACAGCAGCCTACTGCCTTAAAGACTGTGAGTCCCCACAGGTTGTTAAAAGTACAGATCCCTGCGCTTCAGACCCACTGAATTCAGACTCCAGGGGTGAGAGAGCTGGACGTCTGCACCTTCAAGCCTTTGCCCCCTCCCCCTTTCTCCTCTCTTTCCCTTTCTCCCTATCCTACCTTCCAAATTAAGGGATTTGGCACGCAGCCAAATTTTTAGAGCCTGTCCCCCACACCAGGCCAGCCTGCTCCCACCCCTCCAAGGCTCACAGTGTCCTTTGGGCAGTAGCTCCTTACAGCCTTCTCACTCTCTGCTCTTTGTTGTTACTCCTCCTTCCCTCCCCTGTGTTCTCTGTACATTCCCCAAAAGGGTGAGGCCAGGCAGAAAAACACAGAAATGAATGACTGGGAATTTCCAGCACAAGGCTGAATAATAGTTGGCTGGGACTCACGATATACGTGTGTGTGCGTGCGTGCGTGTGTGTCACACGCCCCGCTGCTCCTGTGTGAGCAAGAGCTCAAGGAGACTACCCATGCCCTGTATACTTCTGCTCAGTCACGTATTTTCCACGGATCAATAATGTTTCAGCTGCTGGGATTAAAGAAAAGATTGAGTTCTAGGCTGGTTTTCCCCAAATGACCACAAACTTCAGTGGCCAGACCCGTGCAGGATCTCATTAATCTCATCACCTTGGGTGGTGGTCATGCCTTTGAACATAGGAAAATTTCAGAGCAGTGCATGTTTTGGAAGAGATGGCCCTCTCTTACTTTCAAGGGATCTGTTGCCCCCAGAGAACAGAATAGAATTATTTATGAGTATCTTGTTTTTTGAGCAATACAGGAGTGAGATGTAACATGGTGATCTCTGGCTGTGTAGCTTTGGTCAAGTTGCTTAACCTTTCTGTGCCTCGGTAGTCCCCTCTTTAGAATGGGAATAGTAACAACTCTCCTTGTAGGGGAATATGTCATAGGATAATCCTTGCTAAACACTTAGAAAAATGACATGCCCATAGTGAGCTCGTGATAAAATAGAATCTATGGTCATGCAATAGCTGGTTCCAAAGGGTTTGAAACATCCTACTTCTATTCACTTCTGTTATTGGTTACCCAAACAAGACGAGGGAATTATAGGATATGGATAAAGAAATTGCAGTCTTCTTGGTTTTCAGTAAAGTAGAATGAAGAAATGTTACGATGTCAGCAAGCAGATAAAAATAATTTGTAATTTGCATAATTTTTTCCTAAGCTAATAGACACTATTCAAGTTAGTGTAATTTCTTCCCCCTAAATTGCTTTTGAACTTGGCAAGGTCAAAACTCACGGATCCCAACTAATTAAAACCAGACTAGCAAGACTGTCTGAATCTTAGACAGAAAGGGAAGTGAGTTTCAACATCAGTCTCTCTGAGTATTTCTGGCTTGCTGCCCCCAGGCTCTCAGGGCTGCTCCTCCTGCCCCCTTGGGCTCGGTGAGATGCCGAATGACTAGATCTGTGTTGGCAGTGGGAGTAAAGTTTGTCAAACTAAATTCAAACATTTAATTATATTGGTGAGAGACCCTTCAGAACTTTTAGTCCCTCTGGTCCAGCACCTGGCAACATTCCAGAGAATGACTGTTCTATCACTTTCGGTCCCAGAGTAAGAATGACTCAGAACCTCTAGCCATGTAAAGAAGCCCCAGCAGATAGATGTGGAAGAAACAAACTTTTATGGTTTTATACAATTTCTTTTCTAAATCTTTTTAAAATTTTGGGGGACAGTGTTAGGTAATGGAGTTACTGGGGAGTGAACCCACTTGCTCTACCACTGAGCTATACCCTCCCTCTTCTTTATAATTTTAAACCACTGAGAGTTTGAGGCGATTTGTTATTGCAACATCCTCTAGCCTACCCTAACCTGTATCAACAGCAATCGGGAAAAGGAAATATGTTCCTTGGACTAAGTAGGAATAACTTGTCAGTAACCTGCATGGTGCTGTTTAAAGGCTTGAAACATTCCCTTACCTGGGATAAACAGGCTTTCCATTATCTAGCTTGCCCCTCTTCATTTGCTCCCTTCGCAGATGGGATAAAAGTCATCCTTAGCTTGCTAGCTGTTAATGGATTTATCTGGAATTCTCACTGAGTGGAGCTGGAAAAAAAGAAGGGTTTTGTAGTTCCCCTGAGATACATTAGTGCTTGGGACTTTTAAGGGCTCACATACGCTAGTGATCACTGCAGAATACAAGGAAGTAAATACTGAGAATATTAAAATGATTGAGCGCCAGCTGTCTTCAGGATGATCTGGATCAACCGGTCTTTCATATACCTCGTAAGCCCAGAAGCCCAACCAGGGTAACCCAATCCTGTTGGCACAGAAATTGGGCACAGTTCTAGGGACTGACAAGTTTGTGTTCTGTGTCTGTTTTCCTGGAGGATTCCAACTGGCCGGCTGGCTCTTGCCTCATTTCCCCTGATGCTGTTTCCCCCATTCTCATTCCCTTCCCCTACGCCACGTTTGGCACACGTTCTTTTAATATCCTCAAGTCAATCTTCTCTCTTACACCTCTGAGCCATTGTACTGGCTGTTCCCTCTTCCTGGAATAACTTTCCCTTTCTCTGTTGCTCTGTCCAACTCCTATTCATTCATTGGTCTCAGCTGAGATGTCACTTCTTCCAGGAGGCCTTCCCTGACTTCTTAACTTAATGAAGGTTCCCTGCCATGGGTTCTCACCTCACGTGCCCCCATCATAACCCTCCTGTGACCTGGCTGTGCCTGCTTGTTTTACGGGGCTTGTGTAAGATCTGTGAGAGCAGGCATGTGAGTGTCTTGTCTCCTGTGTGCCCCAGTGACCACCACAGGTCCTGGAAGGAGAGAAAGAAAGGAAGGGCCAGAGTCACAGCCGTCTGTGTC